CCCGTTCTGCCCCGCCCCCGCCCGGGGCGAGGTGCGACCCCGGGGTTCGAAGATTAGCTATTTCTTTTATTTAATCTCTGTTTAGCCACGTGCTTAATCCCGGGCCGGATGAAACCCAGACCCAGAACTTTCTTCTTAAAATACGGTGTGTGCGGTCATGTTGGCCCTTTTCATCCCTGGGGAGAGAGGGGGGCAAAGAGAGCGGTAAAACCCGGGGGTTCCCACGTAGCGTCTGCTTGAGTCCCTGTGAGGCATGGTTTGTGATCTCTTTGATTTTATTTTTTACCCCCCCTCCCTCCCTCTGGTAATCTGTGTTAGAGCTTGTTTCATGCTTCTGATGAACCTGAGGAGGGAGTGGAGATGGCAGCCTTTGTTCTGTGCCCAGGCTGGCCTTCTCCTTCCCCATCACCGCTGTCCAATCGCCTGGCGGCTCTGATTTCTCCATATCTCCCCCCTGCAGCTGCTGCACCCGCAGTCGGTGCCTCTGTCGAGTAGATTCAGCTGCCTCAAGACACTGGAGTCAGCTTAAAAATTGCAACGAGTTAAAAATATTTGCTACCGCCGCTTGACGTGCGTGTAGTGGAGAGCTGGGAGGTACCCGGCGCAAGGAGACGCTCCAATTTAATCTGCAGACGAGCAGAGTGCTTAGCTTTCTGGTACTTGTCATTCTGCTCTTAAATAATTATTTTTTTTTTTAAGGTCTTTAAAACGTGTAGTATTGCCATAGTTGGTGCAGCGCTAGAGGTGTTGTTAGCTCTTCCTTTAAGGAAATAATTCTTAGGAATTGCTGTCTCCCATTGTGCAAGTAACTGAGGTATATCGTCATGGGCAACTTGGCATCAATCGCGGACATCTCGATCTAAACAAATTAGTTTTATAATCCGATTTGCCATCAACTTAATGTTTTTCATTAATAAAACCCTTTAGCCAGCTGATGCTCGACAGCTCTGTGATCGTGCCTCCCGGTGAAATGAAACCTAAGGAGTTTGCTAATTCCTGCACAAAGAACAGCGTTCTCAGTCCACTTCGTAAAGCTTCCTTCACCGAGTGGTGTAACAAGGATTTATGAGGGTTGGGTTTTTTTTTTTCATTAACTTAAAAAATTGCTGATAGTAGACTGCAGCTTTGTGAGACTTAAAATTGATCACTGGAGGAGCTCCAGATGCTTCCTGCTCGCTTTGGGTATTTTGAAAAATGCTGTCCTTTGGGAGCATTCGCTAGCCGTCCAAACCGAGGACGATCTGAGCAAGAAGCTCATGAGAAAGAAGCTGAAATAAAACGGCGGGTTTAGGCAACTAAATCCCTTTGCGCAGATGATCCCAAACTGATCCGGATTGCTCAGAATTTCTCTGTTGCTGTGGCACCCTTTGGGGATGGCATGCTGGAGGAGCTGCTGTATGGAATTTAGGTTTGGGCCAAAGATTGTAAAGCATACGGCAAGCACAACTTCAGCAAAATCACTTCCAGACAAAGAAATGCCTGATTATTGAATGTCAGCAGTATTCCTATTTCAGCCTTTTTCACGGAGGGGAAGTTGCTTGTCCTGCCTGCCTCTGGGAGGGAACCCCGCAGGAGTTCTGCATCGAGACTAAGACTTCTTGTTTAAAAACAACATGTAAAAGTAGTCTAAAATACTTTGGTGGTTCTAAAGCTGCTTAGCATTTCTAGAGAAAATTACCGTTACTGAGGAGCAAGGTGAAGGGCAGCGCAGTGATTCTTGACCAATTTACTGTGCGATGGAAAGGCCGTAAAGCGGCGAGGTTCTGGAGATCTGTTACACAGCACCCTGAATGGCAACTGGAAACTGGGATTTCTTGCACCTTGGAATATGATCCACGTTTCCTCGCTCCTGTGATTCAGGGTCTGTGTGACATTCCTCTTCCACAGGAACAAGAAAACCCCTTTTCCTCACTTTGATTTATGCCTTCCATCTGCTGCGGGGAGGGCGGGAGGAGATGCTGAAGGGCGCAGCCCTCTTGGCTTGTGTGCATTGGGAGGACAGGCGATGTCCACCAATGTGCTAGCTAGGCGTAGGGTGGGTTTTTTTTTTCCCCAAATTCTTGTGGTAATCTTAGCTATTTTTATTTCCTGGAGAAAATCCAAGTGAAAAGAGCTGGTCATCTCTGAGCTTCCTATGCTGCAAACAGATACGCGAGCTACATCACTCCGCTAGCAAGTCTCTATATAGCTAGCATCTAGTTGGTCCTTATGTTAAATGCAGCCCTTGACGTCCCCAGAGCGGTGAGGAGGGATGGAGGTGGGTGGCGAGGGGTGGGTTCAGAGCAGTGGGTGGGGTATTGAAGCAGGACCCAGGACAGGAGGGAGCATCGTCGAGCAATTGGAGTTAGAGCAGCGCATTGCGAAGCAGGGAGCAGCTTGACTCCTCGGCAGAACTCCCCTGCTGACTGTGCTGGTTCTCGTGCCGGGCTCACTCAGTCTGTGTGTGTTCCTAGGAAGGAGAAAGGGCTGTATGGGAAAATCAGGTGGACGGGCGGTGGCCGCGATGGAGCGACTTGCCAAGGAACCAAACAGTGGGATTAGAGATGGACTGAGGTCGCGGGGGTGATGGGGAACTGTGTGTAACCCGGAGCTGTCCTGAAGCTTGCTTAGCGTGGAGTCAGGCTGTCCTGAAATGGAGATTATCTAAATTTCTGCATTTCCAAGTGTACGCCCTGTCCCCCGAAGGAGCTGTAACTGCCGCCTTAAACCTGTGCCCAGATGTCGCAGACTGTGATATGCTAATGCCGTTTCACTGTTGCATTTTTAAATGTATATATTGCTAAGCCATGCCAACGTTACTTGATGCTGATGCTAGCCTGCCTGTCACTGCTGGGACTCTGCCTCCTCCCGCTTCTCTCCCAGGAGCCTCTACCACCTGTGCCATTTCTCATAGCTCACCTTCAGGCTTTCTCCTCCCCACCTCATGCTTGAGCAGTGTTTCTTCTCTTCCCTGTGCCCCTTCTCCCTATGCCAGTGGCAGTCTCCTCCCATCTCTGCAAAGCTCCGAAGCAGAGCTGTCTGCATATGAATCCCAGCATACAGTCTGGAGGGCGGGGGGGGGGGATTTCAGCGGAAAGCGGGAGGGAAATGGTGGGGTTAGGCTTGCCAAATGCTGCAGCTTCCACTGTTGGCAGAGTCCATCCAAGCTCCCTGCTTCCTCTCCTGTGGAACCAAACCAGCTGGGGAGCAGTAGCGTAGGAGAGAGGGAGCTCTGCTTTCTTCTGGAGGCACCCATCCCCAAACTCTTGGGGGTTTTTTTTGGGCATGGGGTCAGTGTTACCACACTGTTAAGATAATACTCTCAGTATTATGCTGCTTACAGAGCACAAGTGTGCTGCAGGACGATGTTTAATCTGGGGTTGTTTGGGGTTTTTTTGTTAAAGAAGAGCTTGGGCTTAGATCAGGAGTAGCACTGTGGCTGCTTAGGCTCCTCCTTGTGAAGCAGCGGTGTTACCAACCCCCTTTACCTACCCCTTAGGATTTCTTCTGAGACAATGCAATCACTGCCCCACATGAAGTCCTGGAAACCACTGCCACACATGCCGCCAGACTGCTGACATTCCCCGTGGCAAGAAGGTAACCTTCTGCTGCACCTCTGACACGGCTTTAAAAAATCAGCACTGAAATGAGGCATGCTTAATCCCTCAAGGTATATGTACGCTTCTCCTTCGTATCAGTAAGTGGTCTGACAAACTGCTACCACTCATCAGTTCATTCACTACTGCTTCATGTTGCATAGCTAATATGCCAGAATGCAAACAGATAACGCTGGAATCCGAAGCAGTAGGACACGTCACAAGTGGCACGATTTTAGCCCCCCGTTCACACCTATTTCCAGACTTGGAGTTTGTTCTGAAGGTGTGAAGGGGACTGCTAGGTCACCCACGCTGGCCTGAATTGCAAAAGCAGGAGAACTTGGAGTGATTTTGCTGGGGCTAGGGGTTTTTTTCTTCTCATATGTTTTTGTATTTCATTTGAAGACTTGGCGATGGTGGATCTGATGCTTTTCTTAGCAAACGGTTAATTATTTGTTGCCCTCACAGACTGACTCCCAGATGTCGTTGCTACTGTTGCAGGAGGGATTTTGCTGTGTGGTCCATGTGAGCTGGGATTCACTGGTTTGCGGAGGCTTAGGTCTGATTGCGTTGTTTTGACAAGGTAGAAGATGCCTCTAGGTAGTTTAATTTACATCAAGGAAGTTTTAGAGTGCTTTTATTCTCGATTTGTGTGTAGAAAACACTTCTTGTTAATATGCAGAATGCCTTTTCAGAAATTCACTTACCTTTTTTTGGAGAACCAAAATATTCGGGAAGTAATGGCATTGTATGATAGGGTCTAAAGCTATGCCTAACCAGGGGCAAGGCCACCGGTGCAATCTTCAGTTTCCAAATCTTGATTCTCTGATCTATTCTTGTAGCTAAATTTAAAAAAAAAAAACAAAACAAAACAAAAAAAAAAACAAACAAAAAACTACGTAAAACTAACCAAGGCAGCCAGCTCTTGTTGCTTATTTTATAAATTTGACAGTGCTTGAACTTCTGGGGTTTTTGACTTTTGCATAGTGTCTTCAGAAAATAATTCCTTTTTGAAGCAAAAAATCAAGCTATCTTTTTCAAAGCAATTAGATCCGGTGATTTTTTTTTTAAACTAAGGAGTCATGGTAACAATTTTGTAAGGGAGCCAAGGTGCTATTGCAAGTAGAAATACAAAATTTATGCTTTTTTTCATAATTATGCAACAAGTTTTATATTTAGATCTCTAAACTAAAACCCAGTTTATATTACTGTATCCATAACTGAAAAGATAAAATATTGATCATTTGATTACGTTCTCTTAAGGGTTTTTTTCCTCTGTCTTCCAAAACTGTAACCATGACCATTGAGTCTAAAGCCTGTAGTTTCTGACATGGACAGAAATCACAGGAAACACAAGATATTGCAGCTGCCCTCTTTAAATTCTGGTAATGACTAAGCAGTCTTCAGTTTCAGTTTTGTCTTGCAGCTTTAATCCAGTTATGTGTATAATCTTGTGAAAGTGTCTCTCCTTCCCCTGAGATGTGAGAAGTTGTATTTGGAGCACTTTCGACTCAGCTATTTATAGTTCTTGGGTTTGCTGATGAAATGGCACAATTTAACTTCTAAGGAAGGGTCACGCTCCTTCCCTGATAAGCATCTGTAAATAATATGTTGTGATGGCTATGCATGGTGTGACCAATTTTTTTATTTTATTTTTTTTTTGGTTGGACCAAGAGGGCATAACAGTTCCTCGAGGATTTGGGATTGCTAGTGACGGATTGGCTCTAAATTTCAGGGAACTTGTCTAGTTCTTGGCCATTAAATAAAAATTGTACGGGACTGGACATCTCTGGAAAAGAAAAGCCAGTCAGCTATGGGCTACGTTCTTTTGAAAAATGTTGGATGTTGGTCTTGTACAAGGGAAAGGGCATTGATGACTGGAAGAACCTATGCTAGAAATGCCTACCTGGAAGATGATCTTCAGTCTTCTCCATTTGGGTCGTCTTTTACGAAGTGACTGTCTCCTGCCACCTCTCAGCGCAAGTTTTAATTTCTAGCCAGATTTGAGAAGGTGTTTGTGTACTAGTTCCTAACTGGCCTACCTTAACAACCTACTTCCAGAAGGTTATTTGGACTTTGTTCCAGATTCCCCTCAGGCTGCAGCATTCCTTCAGTTCATTCAGGCCACCTCTGTGTTTTTCCAAGACTCTGCAATTCACAATATACAATTAAAAGTCCAAATCTTATTTTGAGAGACACGACTTTGTAGTTGCATTGCCTGAATCGAGTTAAGGACTCCTGATGCTCGCTTTTATGGCTATGTGCCCAAGGCTTACAACTTAAAAACCAAGTTATGAATTGCTTGTGTGATAAAGAATTTTATAAGCCGGACCACACTCTAGCACGTCGCTCATTCGGGCTTCTGTTTGTTAGGAATGTTTTCAACTTCACTGAAATTCATCGTGTCCGTACGTGTTGGCACCACTAATTAAATCACAGATTTTAAATAGTCCCTCAGCTTGAATGATAAAAACCTGCCTGATTTGCTGATGGCTGCTGCATTATAGCAAGTGTATCCAGTGGCAGAGCTGGGGCCGGTGTCTTTGTAAGCGTAGGATCTACACGTGGGTACTGCATTCGCGGTGGAGGCACGGGTTTGGGGATTGATAGAGGAAGGCACAACAGAAGTCATACGCAAAACTGTACTTACAGTTTCCTACTCTTATCTGGTGAAGTGCAGAGCATTCGCTGCTCTTCTTTCTTATTTTTGTTCCTTACCCTGTTTTTGGCCTTCCCTAGACGTGAAGGGAGGAAGAGACAAGCTGGGCTACCGCTAAAGAGGTGGCCCCTCTATCCAAATTCCATTAATACAATTATAAGCCTTCATATATTCACAGAGAAGGAGGGTGGTATGTCCTGTTATAATTCCAACTCTAAAATGATGCTTGTTTGAGGAATGTAAGCAGCCCTATTTTTATCTTGTTTAGAAATTGAAAAAATTCAGAAGGGTGAAACAACAAAGAAGGATGAGGAAGAGAACTACCTGGATTTATTTTCCCACAAGAATATGAAACTGAAAGAACGAGTTCTGATACCTGTCAAACAGTACCCCAAGGTGAGGGCCAGAAAATAGCTTACTGAATCTCTGTGGTTTGCTTATTTTCTATGGATTTTATGGCTGACTTTTAGAGATAGTAGCTGTCGAAGTGTCATCAGGAGTTATGCCAGTGTTCTGCTATCGCTACGGAATTTTTCCTATGCAAGCTTGCAGGATCTTATTTCTAATATATTACATTTCTAGAATGTCTTGGGATAAAGCTAAGCGGTCATGCATAGTTGTGATCTTTTATTACTAGAATAGACACTTTCATATGTAGAGCTTTGTGTTTTACAGTTAAGAACTCTTTTAACTCTTAAGGCTTGCTGCCTGTAAAACTACTGGAGAGCAGATGTTAGAATGAAACGCTTTACATGAGTTAATTTAGCGTGATTTCTCTGGTGGAGCACTTTTTCATGAAAAGAATGTTCTGGAACTTAAATATTCCTGTGCATTTTTTGGTCTGTATTTTTTTGGTGAGGTGAAGAGAAAATGGAGCGGCTAAATTTTTTGTCAGCCAGCATAACATTCAGACAAGCTTTTGTTAAGGCTGCTGAGCTCTGGAGCTAATTTTTTTTTTTTTCTCCTTCATTTCCAGTTCAATTTTGTTGGAAAGATTTTGGGACCTCAAGGGAACACCATCAAGAGACTTCAGGAAGAAACTGGTGCTAAGATATCTGTGCTTGGGAAGGGTTCAATGCGAGATAAAGCAAAGGTAAGGGCATCGCCCTTGAAAACATACACATATATTAATGCCTTTCATATTGCTGTGAGAAGTAGTGGTTCTAAAAAGCATATTATAAAAAATTAAACCATTAAATCCAAGAGCAAAGGCAGTAGAAAGTCACACTTCCTAAATTGTTTTGTGCGTGTTGGGAGCAATATTGATTGGGGCAGAAGCGTGGTGCATACGTTCTTTATGAGCGTGACTTAGAGACCAGTCATCTGTTGATACCCTGTACCCTTGGATGCAGAGGTAGTTTATATGCAAGGTGAAGTACAAAGTTTATAAAATAAGAATTAATTCTGGCTACTGTGTGAAAAGTCACTTGCTAAGGGAATATGTTTCCCCTCCAGAAACACACAAAAAATACCCTTTTTCCAACTGTTCCCTCTGAAATCCTTACATTCTCATGGTTCACTGATGATGTTGGAGCAGTATGGTCCTGGTAATCTTTAGTGAATCACAAAGTGCCAGAAGGGTTTTTTTGAGCAGAAACAATGAAAAGAATTTATTTTTTCTTCCAAAATGGAGCAAACGGTCAACAGACCTGTAACTTAATTCAGCTTTTTACTTTAGTAGCATGAAAAGCTTTTCCACTTCTAGCTTATTTGTGACTTCTTAAAGCCATCTGAATAACATGGGTATCCAAGAGCAGAGTTAAAGAGCGAGCTTGTTTGAGGCATTAGACTTCATTAGGTGGTAGAGAGCGCCTCAGGCAGAAAGGTGGTGTAGAAGAGGAAGAGCACTGCTTGCATATGCTTAATCTTCTGGAAGAGAAGGTGTCTGGCATCAGTGCGTTAGGAAAAAAAAAAGGCAGATATAAAAAGCTGGGAGCTGTAGATTGCACGTGGCTTTTTATAAAAAACTGTATGCTCATGTGTATGTTGTTATGGTCTGTGTCCAGGCATGGCCAAAATGCTTTTACAGATGTTTCCTGTTAAGGTGTAGAAAAACAGATAAAAGAAAAGCAGTTTCTCTGCATCTTATTTAGTTTTAGGAGTCTCTAATCTGCTTTGTTTCAGGAGGAAGAACTGCGTAAAGGGGGAGATCCTAAATATGCTCATCTAAATATGGATTTGCATGTCTTCATTGAAGTTTTTGGACCCCCCTGTGAAGCATATGCTCTGATGGCTCATGCCATGGAAGAAGTCAAGAAGTTCCTTGTTCCAGTACGTATGCTGATGCTTTTTTCTTTTTGAAGGAGGTAGATGGGTCATGAATGGCTATAAGGTTGGGTAAAATTTGTTGGTGAGGAAGCCTGGAGTATTTGAGGATGCCTGGAGTATGAAGTGTGTGTGTGGCAGCTTAAGATGACCCCATTAATCTTGCATGAATGGCTATATTATTCCCCTAATCATAATTAGGAAGACATACACTTACAGGGCAGTTGTACAGAACATGTGGAGTAGGTATTTCTCTCCCAGAACTGGCTGTGGACACTGGGGGGGGTGGGGTGGGTAGCTTGTTTAGCCTCACATGGCCATTTTAGTGGGCGAATAACGTTAGCCATGCCTGGCATGGAAGAGACTTCTTGGCTGGGTTCCTCTGACCTGGAACTGTAGCACAGAAATCTGGCTAGAAAACTTCATTGGTCAGATCAGAAACGGTGAATACAGAGGTGTGTGTTCTGCTCTAAAGAGGTGGTGTGAGGATGAGGAGGGTGACTGCCCAGGAGGCAGCTCGGTAGTAGTATTCAGTGTTTGTGGCTCATTTCCAAGACACATCTGTTAAATCAATATTTCTATTGCTTTAAATGTGCGTGATGTGAAGGAACCTCGTTGCTAATCAGGCATTTATACAGACGACACTTGTTACCTGTTTGTGGATGTCTTTTACTGGTGAACCTTGTAAGACCTTTATGGTCAGCTTGTGTCAGTTTGGTGCCAGCTAGAGTATTGACTCCCAAGAACTGCACAACTTGAAGGAGTCTTCTGCATGTTATTAAAACGATGATATTGCTTGCTAAATTAGGGGAAAAAAAGAAAAAAAAAAAAAATGGGAAAGAACTACACAGTGCTCCCTGCTTCGGGGGACCTGGCAGGTAGAGAGCTGGATATACCTCGGCCCCGTGCTCCACAGCTGAGGCTGGAAGCTCAGATGTTCTGCCTGAAATACCAGGGGCGGGTGGAACCTGAGAGCAGTGGGTAGTAGGGAAGTGTGGACAAGCGTGTGGGTACTGCGTGATTTCTGTGAGTCTGACACAGAGAGGAGGAGGGATTGCTGTGTGAAGTGTCTTTGAAGGAAAGAGGTCATCTCCAAGGAGCCCCTGGGATGTACAAAACCTCAGCTTGCTAAAGCAAGCGTGCAGCCTTGCTATTTAAAGTGTCTTATCTATCGCTGCCTTCAAACAATGTGTTAAACTTGTGAAAATTGATGGAGAAGTCACTATGGAAGCCAGCAGTGCTGTGAAGACACATCTGGTAGGAGACTCCTTGCTTTGTGGTGTTGCCATAGCATCGTGAAGATCCTTGGTGCAAGGCCCGGGCTGCCTGTGTGTTGAGGGGAGGAGGGGGGGTTACGATGACTTCTGCAGGGTCACCAGAGATCTGTACTAATTCCTGAAGCTAGGTCCCCTGAGGCGGTAAAAATGCATGGAGCCAGAAACATACTGCATTTGTAAGAATTTGAAAAGACAGCCTGGATTTGCAAATGAGTGTTTGCTCTTCATCAGGCTGCATCCCATCAGGCTGCATCCTGTCCTGTTCCTTCAGTGTGTCGGGAACACAGCAGTATGTTGTCACCTTATGTGGGCTCATTGCCAGCCGCTTGCCTTTAAATGGGAGCTGTAAGGTGCTTGAGGTGAGATATGTCTTGCCTAGCTTCACCTCTGAGCTCTCCAACACTTGCAAATAAATCTTCCTGACATCCCTGGGATGCTGAACATCATCAGATGCCTCTGGGGCGCCCCTATGAGTGAGGTCCTCTTCCCAGGGACCAGCTGCAGTGCTCGCTGCAGCTCTCAGACGTGCAGGGTGGTGGGCCCTTCTTGGCTGGTTTGGAGAAAGCTGGCAGTTGTGCACTGCTGCCTGCCAAGCAAATCCCAGTAAAACTAACCAGCAGATTTTCGTTCCGGACTATCGGGTTATTTTTATTCCAGCACGGCCCCTCTTTAGGATATGATGGATGATATCTGTCAGGAGCAATTCTTGGAGCTCTCCTATCTGAACGGTGTACCAGAGCAAAGTCGTGGTCGAGGAGTCCCCGTGCGGGGAAGGGGAGCAGCTCCACCGCCGCCTCCACCTGTTCCAAGGTATCTTTCCCAAAAGCACAGACCTGGAAATGCTGCATCTTGCTCAGAGTTGTGCTGCCAGATGAGGTTAAGCTACTTGTTTTTACACATCAGCTGTTGCCCTTGACCTTGGCTTTTGGCCAAGGCTTTCTAGCCTTGTGTTGCAGGCTTGCTTTTAGCAAGCTGGCAATCAAATGTCGTGTATGCTTTGAGATGTTATCTAGCGCAGTGGATGTCTTCTGTATTATTTTTGATGTCTGAAATCAGTAGCTTCGTAAAGTAACATTTCAAAAATGGGCCTATGAAATCATGTGTGGATATAGATAGATGTGTCATGTTTGCTTCTGTAGCCTTCAGCAGAATAAGCATTTTCAGTTTAAACTGTCCGTCCTTTGAAAGTTATAGGATGGCATTATTCTGTCATGGCTGTCAAGGCACTGGGATAAATTGGCGATAAAACTGTTATTGTAGTTCCTGCTTCACTACCTATTTCATGGGGGGGAAAGTCTTTGCCTTCTGAGTGTTTAGCCCAGAAGTATCCCTGCTCATCTCATCATTGATCTTTACAGTTCTGGAGGTCTGGCAGTCATTACAGGTTAGTGATAGAGGGTTGTTTAAAATGAACTCTGAGAAATTACTTGGTCAAAGCCCTCTATCGGATTTATTTCTTTGTCTGTACAATACCCAATGCAGTAGAGTTCTCATCTCAGAAGAGGTTTCTGTAAATCCTGCAATACAACAGTGTTCACAATTCATGTGCTTTCATTCTTTGTAACGGACTCATGGCTCAGTTAATGGTGACTGCATTTGTTTATCAAGCTGTTGCATTTTGAAGTAGGCGTAAGAAGCGTATGCGCTGCCCTTGGTGTTCAGCACACCAGCAGTACGGCAGTAGCTGTTCACAATCCTTTTTATCTCCTTTCCAGGGGCCGTGGTGTTGGTCCTCCCCCTCCTCCTCCTCGGGGGGCCCTTGTGCGAGGAGCCCCGGTGCGGGGTGCCATTGCCAGGGGAGCTGCTGTAGCCCGCGGAGTGCCTCCTCCCCCAGCGGTACGGGGTGCTCCTGCACCCAGAGCACGTGCAGCTGGCATTCAGAGAATACCGCTTCCTCCTCCTCCCGCACCAGAAACCTACGAGGAATATGTAAGAAACTAAATATCTTCAGGGTTTTTTTTTCAATCCAGCTAGCTGATCATGTATTGGATACTCAACGTTATTGAAATAAGAGCTAACAACAGTAAGATTGCGCTGGAGAAGTGGCCACCAGTCGCTAGTACCGTGCTGGATGACCTGCTCTGCCTCTCTAGTCCTCAGATGAGGGAACAGCTAGTGTCCTAAATACAGGGTAGGGGGTGCTGTTTATAAAACAGAAACGTGCCCCCACGACTGAAGTTTGCCATAACTATCAGTGCACGGTAGAAAAACTACACCACAGAGATTGATGTAGTTCGCATCGCGTTCTCTTTCTGCAAGAGAATTCTTTAAGCAGGGAACACCAAAGCTTTCTTACTGCCCCTAAAATCCTTAAAATAAATACGTGAATGAACACGATGTTTCAAGGCACCGCCCTTCTGCCAAGCCTATCTTAGAATCTTTGCTCTTGGTATTCTAAAGGGAAAACATGATGACAGGTTTTGATGCACAACAGCATTTTGGGGAACCATCCCAAATATTGATATCTTTAAATTCTGTTTCTCCTCCCAGTAGAACTTCCCAGTTTTTCCACTGAAATCAATCATAAGTTAATAGGTTGGGGTTTTGTCTACCTGTAAATCTGTGGTTTAGATAACACAGTTACAGGCCTCCTGGCACATGGATTTGTACCACAGACAAACTGCAGCATTGGACATGTAAATGACTTCCAAATGCATTGTAAATATTAGTGTGGTTCTTTCCTCCCAAGCCACAGGACCCAAGCAGATTTTAGCTACCTGTGTCGTATGGTTGAGCCCCTTCCCTGTGGCAGGCAAGGATTCATGGGTTCCTCCGAAAGCTGCTAGAGCCTGAATTCAGTTTTGCCATTACTCTTGGTCGGGCATTAACCTTTGGTCCTTCCATTAACACTTTGTCATCATCTGTTTCAGGGCTATGATGATGCATATGCAGACCAGAGCTATGAGGGGTATGAAGGCTACTACAGCCAGGGCCAAGGGTAAGTTTGCTTGTCTCCTACCTGTTAGGGAGAAAATGATGCATGATCTTTCTTTTTTTTTTTTTTTCTTGGTTTGTTTTTTTTTCTTGGGTTTTTTTGAAGTAACTTTTGGGAGTGTCCCAGTGTCCTTGACAGTTCTGTAAAAGCAGTGATCAGACACACCACAGCCATGAGCGATATTGGGCATCTTTGCTTTTCAAGTGTTTGTGCAAGTTGTGTCAGTTTAGGAATACGATTTCAGCGCTGTATGTAACCAACATAATTACTCTTCCAGGGACACAGAATACTATGATTATGGACACGGGGAGGCACAGGAAACCTATGAAGCTTATGGTATGTCTGGGAATACTGTTCTCTTGACAGGGAAGGGGCTGCACATAGTTGGGAATTGCTTGTGGTTGACCAGCTGTTTTCCAGTGCCGCTCCACACTCTGAGCAAAAACTTGCTGAGGAGAATCTCGAGTAGTTTTCGTGGTGGAAGATTTATACCCTACAGCTTATCCAGGTCTGAACAACTGAAGGCATTCTGTGGCTTTTAGATTCTTACCTAGCTTGATTGTCTCACAGATGATCGATAAAAAAATTCCATTTTTTTAACTATGGAAATATCTTTTCATTTCCTTGTAGCTTTAGAATATTTTAAGAGCTCTGGATTTCCACCCACAGCGCTGCTTTTGCTGCAGTCTGGTTTTCATGGATTATATTTTGTTGAACTGGATGAGTGCATGGTTCCATCTGCTTCCTTATCCTCAAAAACCCGCTAGCTGATACTGACTCTGCACTATACGTTTGCTTGAAAAATGGATTTAAATGTCATATGAAGGCCTCCCTTTGACTGGGTGGAACAATAGACTTGCAAGTAGTCTATGAAGTTCAGCTAATTTGAATTACATAAAGCTATCAGCTCAGGTTGGACTGAGGGGTGTGGGAGACCAATTTAACCACAACTGTGTAAATCACCAACTGTTGAAAAATAATAGTTCTTACATCTGAAGTGCTAGCAATAAAGGAATGGGCGACTGCATTGGATTTTTTTTAATGCTATTTCAGATATCTGAGCTTATGAATGGCATCTGCATGTGGCAATGAGTAAGATTCATTTTCCTCTCTCTGTAAACAAGCTGAGCCATAAACAAGTTACGAAAGCTATACAGCGAGCTGCTTAATGGCATGGAAATACGCTGTGTTGAAAACAGCTCGCTTTAGCAGAGCATCAGTTGCCTGAAGGCGTGAATGAATGCAGGTAGTGATGATAATGACCAGCTGGAGTGGCTTTCTGGGATCCTCAGGAACCCGGAATCGGAATCCCCTGTGCCACGTCATGCCGGTATTAGGGAAGCAGAGTTGTTAACAAGGTAGCTGTCTCCTGTGCCGGCCTGGGGCTGTTCCCTGCTCTTGGGCTTAAGTTGTGAGAAGTTCAAATTCAGGTGGCTAACCAGGGATGCTTTTCCAGTCTAAGATGCATTTGAATGGACAGCTGCTGTCAGTAACGATGGCTATCTTTCCTGCCTTCAATGGCTTGGTTTGTTGCCTGTGTTAGTCACGCAGCACAAAGAGGCTTTTGTGCCTCCTACTTGGTAGGAGAGCGGTGGTGTTGTCTGGGATATGAAGGCCAAAATGCTCATTGTATGCTTGGCATGAAGTTGCCACAGCTAATCTGTTTATCCACAGTAATTTCCTTTGGTCTCCGCTTTCATGAAAACAGAATTAGAGAAATAAATTGTTGAGCCAGGCTGGAGACAGTTTTGAGAAAATGGGAACGTGCTTTGTGGCGGTAGGAACAGGCTCAGCTGTCTTCTGGGCTTCGGACACTTGCTTTCATTAACTGGTGACCCTGGAGAGAATGGCAGGCATGCAAGTACGAATGTTGCAAGCACAAGCCATAATGAAAGCTGAGCTTGGATATTTGGGGCTTGAGCTAGCTCAGGGACAATGGGAATGCGAACTTCATTTGCTTCGTTGGTTGTTCGTAGCAGAAGAGTGTGGGCTGTCCTGTCGAGCGCTTTGTCCCATCCGCAGTTAATGCTGGTGCAGCACTAGCGAGCGATGTCCGCTCCGAAGAAGCAAGCAGATGCTGCGCGAGCTACGGATGTAAATTTTCCTGTAGTCGCGGAGGGAAAGGAACGGCAAGTCACAGTCAGACCGGTATCTGGAGGTTCGGTCGGATGCGCTGCCATCCTAGAGCAGCGTAGGGACTTAATTATTTTGGCACAATTACCCAGGAGCCGCCTTGCCTGGCGTCTAGGAAGGAGGGAAGCGCTACCTGTAGCAGAGCCCCCGGGTTATCGAAGCTGCTGGCCGCCAGCCCGAGGGGCTGTGACTGCTGCAACCTTCGCCGCGGCTGGCTGCCAGAGCTGCCCCGTGAATTGGCTCCGGCTCCGCTGAAATTAATTACTCCTAAAAGGCACCGGGTTTGTCCAAGTCGGCACTTAGCCGGGCTGTCGGAGCTGCGGGCTTCCCAGGCATCCTGCGCAAGTGGCTTTTTTCCCGTAATGTCGGAAGACGTGCTGCAAACGAGAGGGCTTGGTGGATCGTGGGGCGTTTTACAGATGGGTTTGGGGGTGAAACTGCTGCAAAGATGCCCCGTGCCTCCGCGTTGGCTCCGGAGGGGAGCCCGTCCATCGGCACCACCGCTCCCTCCCTGCCCCTTGGCCCCCGGCACTCCGCCATCCTTGACGTATCCCTCTCTTTTCCGCAGGGCAAGATGACTGGAACGGAACCAGGCCCTCCCTGAAGGCCCCGCCGGCCAGGCCAGTGAAGGGGGCCTACAGAGAGCACCCATACGGACGTTATTAAAAAACAAACATGAGGGAAAAATATCAGTTATGAGCAAACAGTTGTTACTGATTCTTGTATCTCCCAGGATTCCCGTTGCTTTACCCACACCAGACAAGTAATTGTCTAACTGTTTTTCTTCGTGGCCCTTTTTCTCCCACTCCATCCTCACCCTGCATTCTGGCTTCTGTACGTAGTATTTTAAAAATGAGTTAAATAGATTTAGAGGACCGACTTTAATTTTTTTTTTAAGTGTGTAGATGGCTTTTCTTTCTTTGTTGTTTAGATAAACACAACTGTACCTTTTTTAATAAGAAAAAAGTTGAGTTAAAAATGTTAGTTTCAAAAGTGACATGCTTTGCTTAGCAGTTATGAAATTAAGGTTTTGTTAACCTTTTAAGTTTGGTTTTAAGGAACCCATAAAAGTTGTAGTTGCAGAATCCCAAAGTAGGCTACATTTCAAAATTCAGGGCTGTTTTTAAGAATTAAAATCATAATGTAACGGTAGTAGCTGCCACCGTTTAAAAGTAACCTCAGCTGTCAAACTTTCCTTAAAAGCAGATTGCTGGTGAATCTTAAGTTTAAATTTTAATACGAAGGATCCTCAAACAAATTAAATAGCATTTTTTTTAAAGGTAATTGACCTAAAAGGAAAAAATTAGGTGTGTAAAATTGACTTCTCTTATGTGGGTTTTGAAATCTAGCCCCGAACATGCGGTGTTGAGAGATGCTTGGGAAGCAGATTTTCCAGGGTAAAGGGGTTCTTAGTTTGGTTCTGTATGAAGAACTTTTAAGGGAAAACCAAATTAAAGCGTGGCTCTAATTGCCCAGTGTTTGATATTAGAAAACAGAGTATTAAGTGAGTAGGTCTGAACTCTGTAAAATTACAGTCCTCTCGTTTTTAGAGTGCTTGGGGCAGGTAATACAGTGCAAGTTTAAAACTGACAAAATTGTCAATATTAGCAATCCCGTTGACTTGTTCAAGTGTATCTCAACACTAGCTTTGCATAAAAAGGGACACTGCAGCTGAAAAAAAGGAAAAATTTCACTTTGTACACAGGATAAAGTCCTAATTGGATTTGTACACTGTCCTCCCACTCTGTTCTTGAAGATTAAATGCTACGTGTGTAAGTCTGCCTAAATAGGTAGCTAAAACTTGTCAAAATGTCTGCCGCAGTTTGTCAATAAAGTTTAGTCCTTTTTTAATCAAAGTAAATGTGATGAATTGTCATTTTTTTTTTGTTGAGCAATAAAATAGCTTTTTTTTTCCAATAAATTTAAATTAATGCTAAAGCTAATTGTCTTTTTAAAACATGGAGACATTCTAAAAATGGTGGGTTTTGTAATTCTCACAAAAAGTTTATCAAGCTCATTCGACGAGCTTAATTTTTTTTAATTTAAAAAAAAAAAAAAAAAAGAAAGAAAAATTGTTTTTCACCCCCTGGAAGTTGTTGAAAGCAGTTTGATCCCGGACTACGGCAGAAATCTGACTTCTGTCTGCTGGCAAGTGGTTATGGTTCTTTGCTGAATGAATGATTCAGATTTCAGGTGGCCTCACAGAGTATTCCAGGCTGCAGACTCCAGATTGAGTCTGAAATGGCTGGTTTAAACCTAGTGTGACAAAATGAACGCTGAAAAATCCAAGGCGTAGCTGCCACCAGGAGGAGGAGGAAGCTTGCTCTCTGCTTTACGTAAACACCCCTAACCCCCTTGGCTAAGATGATGCCCTTCCTACTTTATGGTAGCCTTTACTTGGAAAGCCACTTAAAAATGTATCGCTGGTTGAGAAGGGTGCTGCAGTTGCTCCTCATATCCTTCTGAGAGGGTGTGTATGTGTATTTATATATATATAATATTAATAGTTGAAAGTAAATTGCTTCCTAGAGAGACATGAAAAACGGTTTGTATTTCCCATCTGCAAAATGAATCTGGCATTCTAGGGGGAGAGAATTAAACTGCTCGGGGGTGAAAAATAGCGCCTTAGGAACCAAACTGCGTGTAGCAGTGCATGATCGAGGGGAATACTTTAAAACAAAAAGTTGTATTTGTAGATTGTTATTAAAGTGCAAATAACTGAATTTTCAACAATGGTTTGGAGTCAGCTTTCAGGGCATAATGTCTTGCTTGATGAAAAGATCACCCTATACCCCCCTTTTAAAGGAAAATTATCGCAGGAGAATCAGGATGTGTAAAGCTAACATGCATCGCAAAACCCAAAAGGTAACCTAAATGTCTGATTTTAATAGCACATTTCTCTTTTACATAAACTGTGACAGCAACTTGCATAAACTTTATTGAAACAATTCTTCAAATGTTAATTTTAATGTAAAAATTTGCAAAAAATGTTTAAAATAAACATTTAAAAAAGACCACATGCTTCTGCATAAATTAACAATAACTTTAATAATGTGCCCTTTGAAAATGCGCTGTAATGTAATGTGGGCAAAAAGGAATCGGCAAGCTTAAATATCAAAAGACGTAAAATGACAACGAATATAGATAGTCCTGCTACTGCCAAAACAAAAAAATTCTGCTCAGTTATTTAAAAATGTAAAATGATGGCCCTTTTTAGACCCCAGTATTGATATTTACTGTGAAATGGTCAAAGCTCAGCTTAAGTTGCATGTTTTCCTTCCTGTGTAATTGCATGCAGGAATCTTTCTTTATTTATTTTTTTTTTCTTTCAATTTGGGCTTACATGAAGGAGACTCACAAATGTCTTCAATTTGCAGGAGTCAAGAGTACATCGCTATGAGTCACTTGGGTGAAGATGAGCAGGGGCAACATGAAGTGGGTAAGTTTGTTTATTTTTGCAACCCGTTGCAAGCTGCTAACATGTTCCGAGTGGGAGGGGGGGGGCGGCACCATCTGAGCTGCTAAATTGAAGCCATTCTTTATATACCCACAAATAAATTACGCTTGCGAAAGGCCAGTTACATGACTGACGCTCCTGCAGAGGTCACGGTGCGGAGGAGGCTTCGGTATGTACCTGCTTAGAGCTCTCCCTCCGAGATCCCGTGGAAATGGAGGTTTAAGTGGATTTGAGGAGAGAGGGAAATGTGGTAAGGAGATCTGTCTCTTGGAGCTGGTTCCCGACTGAGACGCTGGCCTTCCCGAGAGTGCTCTCAGCAGCAAGGTAGCGTTGAAATTGTGGTTACCCCACGCTCTAGAAACAGAACAGCCCAAGAAAGGGCTCAATAGGAATTCCCGTATGAATCTGTAATGCATTAAAATTATAGACTGCAGATTTGAGACCAGGTGCTGCCCAGCTAGACCTTGGTAGTTCTACCCCTTCCACAGATGGGTTCCGAAATGTGATCTCAGCTGCTGGCTGTTCTTTTTTTATGGCTTTTTGTCTGATGGCATTGCCAGGGATGGCTCGGTCGGTGGTCCTGCAGGCCATTTAGCTCGGAGCCCTGCAGGGCTGCACGCCTGGTGTCAGCAAGTGAACACCCTGAGCCCTCAGGAGGGGTGAGGGACCCCCAGCACCTTTGGGTGCTGGTGCCGGTCAGCACCTGCAGTGGCGGGGCTCCCTCTGGCGGCTGCTCTGGCCCCGCTGACTCGCTTGATCTCCAATAAATACCTTAATAAATGCACACGGGCGTTTGCAAACCGAGCGGTGCCTTGGTTGGGGAGATTATCACAGTGGAGTGACCTGCTTACACAGCAAGGACACGTCTCCCCCCAGGCCCAACGGCAGCAGCCGTAAGCGTTTCCTTTGGGGATAGCTAATCACTTCTTCTCAAGTCTCGAGATCACTGAAAGTCTGAGCTCCATAAATAAAAGAACAAAGAAGTAAACCCTTGGAACGCCGAAGAAGTCTAATGGCTTCAAAAGACAACCGAGAAAAGCCTTGGGCATAGGACATAGAAGGACATAAGTCTTATTTTATGTGGAATTGTAAAGCTACCAAACGAGCTTCTCTTATCTTAGGAGTATTAGGAACAAGAAAGCGGTGTAATATGTGGAAATGCTGCAGCAGAGTGAGATTACCCTCAATTCTTTGACTTTAACTTGAAAATTGGATCCATAGTTTTCTGCTAGGGGAAGTCGTAACATGTCTGGATTTGTGGCCTGTTTATCGAATGCGTCTTCATTTAGAATGTAATTGGAACATCAATTTATATGGTGTTGTACCAATCTTTCCCATTTCTTTCTTAATAGGCACAGCTTTTATATCAAGTGGAAAAGATTTGATAGAGATCATCTATTATGATGCAGTTTTTTACCAGTAGAAGTGGATCTTGTGACACTGCCTTTGGAGTAATACAGCTTGCTTGTGCATTGCATTTGTTGCATGTTTACGTGAAAGATTTTAATGTTATGGAGGAATGTAAATCTGAATATCTTGAAAATAACTGTATATGCCAAAAGTATTTTGAAAACATGCCCTGTATCAAATCTTCCTCCCTCTCACAGCATTACTACATTCAGATTTTAGCCTAGAGTCTGCAGAAGCTAATTTGAGATCCCAAAATAGCCATCGGCATCGGATGTGTCTCTCAAAGATGCTCTAATTAGCCAGACGTTCCGGGGGTGATACAGGACTCGCTGAAATTTGTGAGGGGTAGAGATTCCTTTGAGTACCAAAGTCTGAGTCACCTAAATAACCTTCCCTTTTCTACTGCCACGTAGCCACCGGAGGTAGCGTTCTGCTGGCTGCGAGCTAACAAGCGCCAGTCATCTTTCATCTCCCCATTTCCCCAGAGGACTAATCCACATCTTCCTATTTGTAGGGTTTGGGTAAAGACCATAAAACAAGATAAAGGCCCCCATTGTGCTTGGTGCTGTACAGTGTGATGTACAGCAGCAGTCACGTCTCCTCTGTGGAAGCATTTCCCAACAATCCCATGCTTTTCAAGAGAAGCTCGGCTCTAGGAACATCCTCCTGCTGCAGAGCGCGCCGTGCCTCGGCAGTCCCGTCTTCTCTGGCCCTTGCTCTGGGTCGCCCCAGCTGCTTCAGCCTCTAAGTCCAGCCCCTCGGTATAAACACTCGGGCTGGCCTTGCTTGGAGCTGGTACAAACCTGGGCTTCACGTTTCTTTGGTGAGGTCCCGCCGTGCATCGTGGTTCAGAGTCTCTTGGGCAGCAGCAGCGTGAAGCTGAGCTTGCAGGAAAAACGCTCCAAGTGGTATTGCAGAGGTGTCCCCAGCAGCTTTCCCTGGAAGGAGACTGTCATCCCCTGCCCATTCCTTCCCCCTGGTTTCACGTTGCTGTTTGGATTATTAAATAAAGCAAATGGCTACAAGTTTTATTTTCTAACTTACCTATGGTATTTTTATGTTTAACTTAAACCGCTGTGCTTTCAGTGAGGCTAAGGCATTACCTTGACACGGTCCTCTGTAAAATTCCCTATTTGGTAAGTTGGGTTTAGGAGCACAGCTGGATTCCTTGTTCGGCTGTTAAAGCGGATGATTCTTTTTGTACAGAATGAGGTTTTAAATTTGCATGAGAGCATCTGTCACGAACAGAGCCAAGAAAAAAACAGTTTCAAGACAGGCGTCTTCCCTTCCTCAACCCATGCTGCTGCTCTCCTAAAGAACGCTTGGGCAGAGGGCGATTCCTGCCGCCTGTGACGGACCCTCCAGACACCCCCGGAGGAGAAGGAACCAGCCGTGACCTGTCTGCTGGGAGATGCGGAGGAGAACGGGCGCTGCTGCTGACACAGCTCTCCTCTCGGCCCCGAGGAACAAGTACAGTCAGTGCTTTTGGGGAGGAAGACAGGGCTTGGAGAAACTCTTCTTTAATTGATTAAAATCTGTAACATCGTGGATGAGATGTTGGACACACGCCCCGTTTGTAAGCTTCGAGGGGGAGGAATTTCTGCAGGCTAGTCGGGGCCCAGGGGAGCTCCCATCTCAGATGTAGATGTTATTCCTCTTTTTCTACTCAGGAAGCTCAATTCCTGTGAGCACAGAGCAGAAACCTTTGCTGTTATTGCTCAGTTGAGCCTTCCATTGCTACTATAGAACTGTTTTAATTGAAATGTTCTGTTTCCACGTTCATTTTGCTCCTTTTGCAAAGTGGGAAGAATCTCTCCTGGTAAAGGAACCCAGTGAAGATGCCGGTGGCTTTGCTGTGGCTGGGAAACTGGAACCTGACAGCTCTTGGTGAGCGCTGGAGAACGCCGGAGCCTCCCTCGGACTGGAGAGCGGCGGCTGTACGGTGGAGTCCTGAAACATAAAGTGTTTTCCAATGAACCTGGTGCTTTTAACGCTGGCTTTGGAACCAAATACACCCAAAGGCTCCTACGTGGTGTTAGAAATGCAACCCTGGTTTTAGCCAGCCAGCCGTCCGTCCTGCCTGTCGCCTTTATCGCTGTTCCTGGAGGATTCTGTTAAAGCCGCAGGTGTCTGGATGCTCCTGGTTTTTGATGGCTCTGCACAACCGTAGGTTTCCAAACCAGTAAGAAATGAAAGATTGGCCTTGTGAAAGTTCATTAATTTTCAAGATGGCTTTGCCTCCGGCCCAGGCAGGGCTGGTTCTCGGGATTGTATAGTGCTCCATCTGTACTGAAGCGTCAAAACACCCACAAGTTATGGAAATCCATGAAAAATAACCGCAAGCGGTTGGTGAAGATGGCGAAAACCTATCAAGGTGAATCACAGCGTTAAAATAACTTGCAGAGGAGAACTGGCAAGCTCTCGCGCGGCTGGTATTTAGCGAGAAGCGTTCAACAGATGTTGAGCGTTGTTAGTCATTCCCTGTAATAAAGGCCTAAGGTTGAAA